CTCAGGGCAATGGCAAACCATTTTAGGAATAGGAATTTAAGTCTGTGCCATTGATGACAGCAGTTGAGTAGTATCAAAGAAAGTCAAAAGGATTTGTGGGATAACAAAGGGATGCAGTTAATTTGACCTGGAGAGGTGAACCCGGAGATGGTGGACCCAGAGGAGTTGGTAATATGGGGAGGAAGGTGAGACGGGCACAGCCACCAGGGTGGGGGCACTCAGATCCGCTGGCACAGGCAGAGTGCTGGCTATGGGAAGTAGATAAGAGTCTGGTGGGATTGCAGTGTCCTGCACTATGGGTGAGTGGCAATTTGGTACCTAGGAAGCTTGGTGGTGGAGATTGGTAGTGTCAGCCAAGGACAGGTGGCAGTGAAAAAATAACTCCCATGGGTTATCATCTAAGTCCTGCTACTGGCATCCGTAAAGGAGAAACCATAATCTCATTACACCTCCTCTTTCGTTCTTTAGGAACTTAGAATTTAGAATTTCAACAATTGTTGAAAATACTGCTCTTCTTGGAAAAAAAAAAAAAGTCATGAATTCACAATAACCCCTTAAAAAATATTGTCGACTGAAAGAGCCTCTTATAATTCGCAGAGAGGTCGGACATCCTTGCAGTGAGATGTGGTTTCAGTAGCCGATATGTTGCTCGTGGCTTCAGCACGACCAAGGATGTTTGTCCCAGTGCTGTCATGCGGAAAGAAGCCAAGTAAGAAAAAGAATATAACAGGCATAGAAATACTTGAAGGGAGGAAAAAAAAAAAGTAATCTGTCTGCATATGAAGATAGTATAATAAAGATAAATAATCTCTCCTGTGAAGAGAGACTGAGAGAACTGGGATTGTTTAGCCCTGAGAAGAGAATTATCTGAGGGGTGGGGGTCAGAAGGAAGGGGACAATCTCTTCTCAGTGGTGCCCAGCAGTAGAACAAGGAATAATGGGTGTAAGCTAGAACATAGGGAGTTCCACCTCAACGTGAGGAGAAACTTATTCCCTGTGCGGTTGCCGGAGCCCTGGCACAGGCTGCCCAGAGCAGCGATGGATTCACCATCCTGGGAGGTATTTAAAAGATGTGTAGATGAGGCACTCAGGGACATGAGTTAGTGGTCGACCTGGCTGTGCTGGGTTAACAGCTGGACTCGATGTTCTTAAAGGCCTTTTCCAACCTAAATGATTCCATGACTTGGTAGTTTCCACTAATCTGACTGAAGACTCTTGTGTAGGGTTGGGAACCACCAGTGTGGGGGTTCCAGCTCGTGTCTGCACGGCACAGCCCAGGGCTAAGCTGACTCCTGCAGCGACTGCGTGCGTGCAGCTCCACGAGCACGCCGGCACAGTCAAGACGTTAAGCCAAATGGATGCTGCCTTGTTAACTCTTGAAGAGAGGCTGATTGCTGCCTGTATAAACTAGTGCATCTCGAGCTCCTCCTGCGCTGGTTTACTCGCCAATAAAATCCATTTATGGATATTATTGTATTGCTGTAGCTGCTTCTGCGATTTTCCCGTGACCATGCGAACCACTTGCATGTGGTTTAAAATGACGTCGCCCAAGTGCGGTGTTGATAGTGTTCATGAGTAGTAGCTGTTTCACGCTACTTTTCCTCTTGGATCAGGGTTTGATTGGATTTGAATGTAGCTGTTTGGTAATACAGTTTAATGTGGTTTGGTTTACCTAACTAATTATAGCGTAATACAATTTGGTTAAATGTAGCGTATGGCAAATGGCTACTCAGGAAAAGCGCCTTGTGAGTTAAATTAGTTGTGGCAGAGGTCATGGATTATTTCCTGAGCTCTTTGCAACTGTCGGTTAAATACGGTGAGAATATACCAAAAGTGTCTAATAAAGTTAAGATTAGTTATCTCTTTATTAACTCCACGACCCGTGGCGTTCATAACCTGTTTATATTGTTGCAGCTATGATTACCCTACAGGGAGGAGTTAGAATCTCACAGCAAGGGGAAAACCCTTGTGCAGGCTGCCAGAAGAGGAGATACCATCGGATTTACAGGGGATCACACAGTAAATTAAAGCAGTTTTCTCACTGTAATTTAGGAATCAGCTAGGAAAATATAGCAATGTCGTGAAATACAGGAAACGTTCACCTATAGAGAATATTCATTCTGTATATGCATTCAAATATATTCCTATATAATGAAATGAAAACCCTTGTGCAGGCTGCCAGAAGAGGAGATACCATCGGATTTACAGGGGATCACACAGTAAATTAAAGCAGTTTTCTCACTGTAATTTAGGAATCAGCTAGGAAAATATAGCAATGTCGTGAAATACAGGAAACGTTCACCTATAGAGAATATTCATTCTGTATATGCATTCAAATATATTCCTATATAATGAAATATAAAAATATAGGAATTGGACAGTGACATGGTTTTTTCAAGGCAGGACTGTAGCAAGGCAGACAAAGTAGCAGTCACAGTCCATTGCAATAGTTGATTACCCAAACAATTATGATTGAAAAAAATACATAAATATATATAATATAGACAAACATATATATATATATATATATACACACACACTCACTTTATATATATAAAAAGCAGGACATGTGCATTAGTAGCAAAATAAATCGTATTCTATCTAAACCGGAATTGATTTTCCATCATTCGTGAAACTGAAAAGAAGAAGCCCTCCAGGCATTTCCCTTTCCATGAAATAACACCCGTCATCAATGTGAAGCAGAAAATAATTGTTAGACTTCACACAGAGTCCTGAAACAATCCCAGCCCAATTTTGCCTTATTGGGAGAATTTTGAGTTCACAGACTGGCATCATCTTAGCAGCTTTCACTCGCTTTTAGAAGTGTCAGTACAGTAAAGACAGAGAAGAATTCTTCTGACCAACGGTCTTGAAAGAGCTTTTTACCATCTCTGAGTCCTTAACTTCCTAAATATTAAAATAGGTTGTCAGGAAGGGCTCTTTTTTTTTTTTTACAGAGTCTATTGTACAGTCCTTCCCAGGGCTTAAATCTTTCAGTTGGAGCCTCTGGGAGTAAAAATATATTTTAGAAACGGTAAGTGTGTGTTAATGATATGCTCACAAGACATAAAACAAATTATTAGAAGGGGTTAGTGCATTTTCTGGCCTATTTAGGGAGTTGTACAGTTTGCTTATATTGAATAACCCCCCCTGTAGAATAGTATTTTTAAACCATTCTGTCTGAATGAACTGAAATGTACGTTTCCTTTTCCCAGTAGCCATAGAGCCTCACTTGCCCGGGAGCACTGGTACATTTTGATAGACACCTTCCAACTGGAATGCCTTGACGCAAAATTTCTTTCTGATCTTATTTCATTCCCTTTATAGAAGGTGTGATTTTTAATGCCAGTGGGGATTTTCATAGGTTTTCTTAAGTGGTGTAGCTCTTTCCAAGGGAAGCTTTTACAAGTTGCACATTTTATTAAGTTCACATGAAAATCTTGAGAAGTTTAGTAGACCACGTTGTGTTTAAGAATTCCGTACAGCTTGCGCCGTCAATCGCCATGGACCCCATCACTGTTCTGTATTTAGGATAGTTGCAAGAGCCTTGTTGCTTTCTCTAAAAAACAGTGATGTCAACTCCATTTTTTCCAATTTTTTTTTTTTTTTTCCACCAAGTAGCTGAAGGACCTTGACCACACCAAGAGCAGATGGATCAACACTTGCTCCTTGGTGGTTGCTCTGCAGAAGCTGCTGCTGCCTAGGAGAAAGCTCAAGTCCCACGGGACTTCTGGAAATGACTGTTTAGATAATTTCAACTTGAGAATGGTCTTAATGAGGCTTTTCAAAGAACGATGCAAAGCGAAAAAAAATAGACCTTCCCTAACGGCTTTTAAAAATTTGCTGCAGGAAGAGTATCCGGAGGTTTCTAATTCACTGATATTCGAGTTCTTTAATGTGTTTTACCACTTTCTAGCGCTGTACATTTGACCTCGTCACAGTATTTTTACTAAGGTTGATTTATTAGGATGAGGCATGTTGGAAATCGGTGAAAGGAACAACAAATATGTGAAAAATCAGTTACTCATTTGAATTCAGCAATAATAGCTCAACCCCCAGCATCTCTATCTCCCCCCAGGGCAGGCATCATGCCAAGGCTTGCACGAGTTGTGTCCCTCTTCCAGGAAGGACCCAGAGCAGTGTTTGCTGGTCATGTAGGAGCAAGTTTCCAGCAAATATAGTGGTACATTGTTAAATTAAATCATCCAAATGTAGTTTCTATTTCTTTGAATAATTCTACCAGTGTTATTAAAGTGTAAGGTGTGGTGGGAGCTGTGACAGTCAGGTGTTGGAGCAGGACTTGGATGTAAGTAAACGAGCAAAAAGGTGAGAGCTCAAAGATTTTTAAATCTAAGATATATTTTTTTGAAGCCTAAGGTAAAATCAGGGGATAGAGGCTGATGTGTGACCTTAGCTCTGAGGAAAGCTGCCTATATCGTATTCATTTGCAATATTCATATTTGCATTTTCCGACACAGACTGATAAATATGCTTCTATCAGAAAACGGAAATGGTTAAAAAAAAAAAGAGTGAATCATCGTTCTTAAATTGTTACGGTATTTGGCAACTTATCAGAGGCAAAATTGGTGAGATTTCCCGACTTGTATGTGGTGACCTGGGTGACAAATTATGAGAAGGAAAAAAAAAGAGTATTTAATCTCTTCACCTGTGTACTCCTCTTTATAGTGATGGGAAAGCAGCCTTTGGAAGAGCTTTAGGAAGTTGGGTAAGGGGTTGCGAAGCGCAGTGGCGCTCCAAGGTCTTCTGTCCCCGTGTTCCGGGGGCAGGAGCCGTGCCCCGCTCTGTGCCTCCCAAATACCCTCTGCTTGTATTTCCCGCTGATGCGCCTCAGAAACCCTCCCCAGCAGCTGTGACCTTTCTCCAAGCCGTGAAGTTTGAAGCTGGAGGAGCTGTAAAATACCGGAGCTCTCCCGGAGGGACGACGGGCTGGGAGGAAGGAGGCGATTTCCCAGGGCAAATGGGGGAGGCGAACGGGAGCGATGGAGTTTTCGGGGAGTGATTCCTCAGACGACGAGTGCTGTTTCTCGGGGAACGGCGAGGAGTACTCCCACGACGAAGCCCCGAAGGCCTCCGAGTCAGTAGTCACAAGGCTGCATTTTGCACTTTGAGTAACTACTTTGTCGCGTTGGATGAGTTGCGCTTCTCGTAATTACTCGTTGCATTTAGTGCTGTGCACTACTTCTGCGTTTAATGCCGTGCATTTCTAGTAATTACTATTGAATTTAATTCTGGACACTTCTGCACTTCTACTAATTACTTTTTAACTTGATGCCTTCCATTTCTGATAATTACTTGTTGCATTTAATGCCCTGCACTTCTAATAATTTTGGAATTTAGTGCTAGGCACTCGTATACTTGTGATAATGGCTTTTTTTTTTAATTTAATGCCACGTACTTCTAGTTATCTGTTGCATTTAATGCCCTGTACTTGTAAGTACTTTGAGCTTAATGCTGTGCACTCCTGGACTTCGAATAATTCCTTGCTGCATTAAATGCCATGTGCTGCCGAAATATTACCTATTGAAACACGGACGGAGCATTGCGTGAAGGTGCCTGAGTTTAATCTGCAGGTGGGAGGCATGGCGCTCGCCCTGTGTGTCGTTTCAAAGCCTGTGTGAGGTGTTGGCAGCCTTTGGAGCTCCGAGCGTCTTGGATTTCATGTCTGATGCACGTGAAGATTTAAAGTTTGTGCGGAACTGGAAACACATTGATTTTTTAATTTTTTTTTTTATTCTCCCCTCTTTGTGTTTTTAGAACCTTGATGGCGTTTTTCGTCCTGCTCACAGCCTTGTTGGCAGACCCCTTGCTCACACAAGACCAGGGGAGGTTTATGAACTCAGTTAAAACTAATTTAGACCATGAAAGTTGCTTTCCTATCGATCCTTTTGCTGGGGGTGAGGGTCCCGCAGCAGTGGCAGAGGGAGGTTGTGGGCAAGGATGAGCTGGATGGCTTTGGAGAGACCCAAAGACAACAATTTCTTGACTTAACTCTCCGTGTGTGAGCCCCTTAATGAACAGCCAAAAAGTCCGCATACTCCTTTTAGTGTATTAATATGCCAGCAAAAGCTGGCTGCAATAACTCGAGATATTGAATATTATCATTCCTTATCCTCTATATTTGCCAAGGTTTTAGAGTTGATAATCATCTACTGCTCTTCAGCTATTTCTTTCTACTTGTTTTAAATTACCATAATTTTATTTATCGGTAAGGATAAATTATCACTAATACAGTCTTAATTACATTGAAAATAGACTCAAAGACAGCGTTCTGATGTAGGCTTGAATATTAATATTTTGTTCACTTCTATTTCTTCTTGCCCTGTTTTAAAGATATTAGAGATAGCTCTAAGGTAATTAAAGTTAATTAATGACTACCTTAAAGGGAGAGTGCGTATTCTTGGCTGCTGCACATGCACTCATACTCTTTTTTTCACCATATTACTGCTTCAATACTTTCAATCTTTAAACATGGAAACTGCTATTTCCAAGAGCATTTTTAAATCTCATCTTCTGCTTCAGTAGGAACGTACAGTGGGTTTCCAGTCTCAACGAATTGTGTTTAAAAGAGGTATCTGTAATCCATTTACCCTTCATATGTGGGAAGGTTTGGAGTGAATGTGAATATGACTCTGAATCCTCTGTGCTTCTTTGGCCCACGTGGAGAATGCAGTGGCATCTCTTAAACCCTGTCAAAGCACCTCACTGGTCTGATTCACATAAATAGTTTTATATTTTATGTTTTTTATTTTATAGCTTACGCTGGCCATGGCTAAATTCTCAGTGGGGCAGGGAAAGGGGGAACACAAAGCATTTGGTAATGAAGACACAGGAGAAAATTCCAAGTGCGTTGATTTGATTTCGGAAAAGTACCAGCGCAGGGTTTTAATGCTGAGACCTTTGAAAAGCCCCTTTTACAGGCACAGTCCCAGCTTCCTCTGTGCTCAGATAGCAAACGTATAGCAAGTCCTATAGTGTGCCCTACGTGTCGTAACTGCTCCAAGTAGCGGAGTTGACGTCCTGCTTAGCTGCTTCATGTTCCAAGTCTGAGATAGTAGGGAGTTTTTTGGAGAGAAGTCTAAATGTTCATAAATGAATCTTTGCAAAGAGCTGAAATTTTTGATAAAACTCTTTCTGTGCACAAATGTGCGTAGCAAGAAATGAGACTTAGCCTGAAGCAGATGAAAAGCGTGGGCTGATGCGTGGCTGGATGTCTTATTTACTAGGGGAGCCTGTTTCTTGTTTTTTCCTCCTGCACGGTTTTTAGCTTTTACGTGCTTGGAGCCTATATGGGTGATGAACTTCAAATCAATTTAGGGGAAAAGCTGTGGAACCCAAGAACTTCTCCTTGAAGTGCTTTAAGAACGTGATATGTTTGGAAATAACAAGGATTGGTATGAAAACAATACAGCTTCCTTCATAAGTGTGGTTTTTTTCTTTCAGGGAGGATGTCAGAACTGCCAACGTCATCGCGGCTGAAGCAGTAACGTGTCTGGTCATCGACAGAGAGTAAGTACGTGGTTTCCCTGCCTTGGGATGTGGTCGATCTCCAGTTAGCACTTTTTTACAGATTTTAACTAGAGCCTCTGATCATTTTCTCCCGACAGAGAGGTCATGTAATTTTGAGTAATAACTTCCCAGCGTATTATACGTATCCTTGATGAAGTAAAGAGATGATCTCGCTAAACAAGAAAGACAAAACTCAGTAGTGCCAAGTGGAGAAAGCGCAGAAAGATAAAATGAGAAAATAAGAAAATAACGTTCCTGTGGAAACTCATCCAGGCGGTGGAGGTGGAACACAGATTGGTTTTGCACTGGCAGAATGTCGCGAAAGGCATCAAGCTTTCTGGCAAATGTTAGAGCAAGACGTTGTTATTCTATCCAGTGTGCAGATGCAGAGCTCTCATCCAAAGGACATAGCTTGAAGGTCTGCAACTCAAAGGAGATGGAGGAGATTGGAAGAGTAATTTAATGTCTTGAAGGAATTAGTGGGGTTTAATCTAGAAAATAAATGCCTGAGGTCTGGAAAGCAGTGCTGCAAATTCAACTGCTTTCTACGATTGTTGGGAAAGGGATTGTAAAAAAATAACAGCACTACCTTGAAAGTTCAACATGACTGTTGGGGTGATTTTTCAGTTGTGAGGGCATAGGCTGTTGAAAGGTGCGGACAAATCTTCTGCAGGAATCTTTCCAGGGGAATGCAGTCTAGTTCTGTGAAGCCACAAGAGAGGCAGGTAGGATGGTGGATGAGGATGGATTTTTCTCTGCCTCCTCCCGTATAAGAACCCAAAGAAACCTGCAGTAGGGAGATGATAGGCAAAGGAGGTGGCTCTTCACATGAGGATCGCGCACAGAGCCCTAGGAAAATGAGAGGAGTTTGCAGGGGTTCCAAAGGGAAATAAATCATTGGCATTTATTAAACATGTGGGACCACTGGGCTGGGGAGTTTTGGAGAGGCGTGGGAGAGTACGAAGGCAGATACCACAAATGGTTGCTCCGACCTTGAACTCTTCCCTGGGCACGTAGTTTTGATGGGAGACACTGTCAAAGGTCAGATGCTGGGTTAGGAGTGACTCCGAAGACTTTCTTATGTTCTCCTGAGAGATGCTCGAGTATCTCGTAGGGGTGATCTACATACACTCACCCCTGCTTTAAGACAAGAGGTTGGCGTTCAATTATCTTACAGTCCATCGTTTCTAGCAGTCTGCTGTTCCGTAATGGCTGAATTGGAGAATAACATTGTGGAAGTTTTAGGTCTTCTGACACATTAGTTAGTTTATGATCAGTTTAAAAGAAATTATCCACCGAAAACGGCTGGTGAACTTCAGGACTGTCAGCTGAGTGGCTTTCACGCACTCAAGCAAGATAGCCTGGTAGATAAAAGACGCACTATCGCTTATTCTGTGGAGCAAAGGAAAGAAGATCTGACGTAATTAGATAATTTAGCAAGCATTAATTCGGAGAAGTACAAAGTGACAAGTGATCTCTCTATTCTTTTCTAACACTTCTATAAGGTATATTTTTGTTCTGCACTGTAAGCATTAAAAAAACCCAAATAACTAGGAATTGCAGAGTCAGTCATTTCTGATCATTTTATGGACTGTTTCTTTGCTTGTCTCTTGTGTCTTTTTCTCAGTATATAATGCCCTTGAAATAGTAAGGAATTACAAGTTAAATTTAAGCTGATGAAGCTGTAGTTAATCTATACCAGAGATTCTAGTAATGCTCTGCAATTAGTAGCAGGGTAATGCTATTTATGAGAACGCTATTTATAGTGCAGGAAAAGTAATGCAATATTTGTGATACTATTTATAGTTCAAGGAAGGTTGTCCTGTGTCCCGACCAGCTCTGACTTTCTTGTCGTAGTTGTTCTCTTAGATCAGTATTATAGACACTCAAATAACTGCAGAAGCTAATTTTAATATGGAGAAAACCTACTAAGGCTTGCGAGAGTTTGGAAAATTGTGCAGATGCTGCTCTGTTAATGAGGAAAACCAGTAATTCTTTATATCCAGGTATGCTGAATATTACGTTTGGCTTGTTACGATGGCCACAGTAAATGTTCCAGTTGAGTTATGCACATAGTAGCAGTGGAAGCTGGAGGTCAGCTTTACCTGCAGTCAGAAGCTGTTCTGTGCAGGGCAAGCGGCGTGTGTCAGTAAGGTTGCCAACTATTTTCTATTAAAAGGCAAGCTCTTTGCTTTGTCACTAGCGAAGCAGCAGTTGTCATGCTCAGCGTGTGTCTCCATCTGAAATGTTCAGCAAAACAGAGCGAGTTGTGGGACCTCAGTATCTCAACAAGTTATTCCTAAGAGTCGGACGATGGGTCCCTGGATTGGACGATATTACAAGCAGTTGGAGGGCTGGTTTAGTTCCTGGAGGATTTTGAGGATGACTTTATAGGGAGGAGCCAGGCCATAGAATGGTCTAGGCTGGAAGGGACCTTAGAGAGCATTTTAATCCAGCCTCCCAGTCGCCAGGGACGCCACCTCTCGACTAGATCAGGCAACACATGGGGACCGAACGGGAATTGAACCCGCGACCTTGGTTTTGTTAGCGCCATGCTCAACTGACTGAGCCAACCGGCCGTGAAGTGAGCTCAGAGAGTTGGGTTTGAGGTGGGATGTTGTTTAAGCATGACCTGGTTTGCCTGAAATAATTGCTGAAATGCAAAAGATATATATTAAAATGCTACGGAAGTGAAGCAGTGGCAGTTGTGAATACTGTGAGGAAAGCCAGGCGGTAGTACGTGATGGGTCTTAAATTACCCGACTCTCACAGTGTTGGTGCTGCCTTGCTTTTTTAAATTTTCTTGTGGAAAAAGAAGGTCCTTACAGTCCCAAAACGAGCCCAAAGACACCTGAAAAGTGGTATAGCTATTTCTTGCCAATCCATGTAGAGACGCTTTGCAACAACGGATTTTCAGCATCCTTTTCTGATGTAGAAATGAGCAGGGTCGTGATCTAACAGAGAAAATGACCTGCAGTGCCACAACCATCTGATGTGTCCCACAGGCTTAACGCCATTTTGTCCCTCCTTCTCCTTGTCATGAAAATACTTGTTGTGAAGGGTAACACCGATGTTCCTTCCGTCTCGCGATTGTCTTTTTTTGTCCCTTCTTTTACGGGAATAATGAATTTCAGTGGGATTTGGTCCTTCACGCTCTCTGGCTTCATCAGCGATTTCCACTGCCCAGGAGGTGAGATGAAGCCAATCATCCAGCTCCACCCAAGCTGTAGGAGAAGTTTCAGCTGACTTTGCTAAGGCTTTACCGTCAGGTTATGCTGCATTCCATTCCCATATGAATGAGTAAATATCGCTTGGAATTGGCTGGCTGGTCACATGCAGAGAGTAGTGGTCAACCACTCAGTGTCCAGATGGAGCTCAGTGATGAGTGGTGTCCTTCAGGGGTCTGTGCTGGGACCAGTCCTGTTTAATCAGTGACGTGGACGGTGGGATCAAGTGCACCCCCAGCAAGTTTGCAGCTGACAGCAAAGTGAGTGGTGCAGGTGACCAGCCTGAGAGACAGGATACTGGCAAGAGGGATCTTGGCAAACTTCAGAAGTTGACCTCATGTGGGCCTCACGAAGTTCAACAAGGCTAAGTACGAAGTCCTGCGCCTGGGTCAGGGCAACTCCTGGTATCAGTACAAGCTTGGGGGATGAGAGTGGCCTGGCAGAGAAGAGCTTGGAGGTGCTGGTGGACGAAAAGGTGGGTGTGATCCAGCAACACACACTCGCAGCCCAGAAGGCCAATGCCATCCTGGGCTGCGTCAAGAAGCGTGGCCGGCGGGTCAAGGGAGGTGATTCTCCCCCTCTGCTCTGCTCTGGTGAGAACCCTCCTGCAGTGCTGTGTCCAGCTCTAGAAGAAATTCTTTTCTATGAGGGTTGTGAGCCACTGGAACAAGTTGCCCAGAGATGTAGTAGAAGCCCCCATCCCTGGAAACACTCAAGGTCAGGTTAGATGGGGCTTTGAGCAACCTGATCTATTAGAGATATCCCTGCTTACTCTATGGAGGTCCGACCAGATGGCCTTTAAATGTCCCTTCCAACCCAAACTATTCCATGATTCTATGAAGTTCTGCATCACAGAAAGCCAACACGTTCAGGAAATTATTTATAGGGATTTGTAGGAGTTTGTGTTTTAGAATGGCTGAAGAGAATCGACCGGTAGGTTTGAGAACATGACCCATATTTAGCAAACCTATAGAAAAAGACGTGAGCTTCAGAGGTGGGATTTCCAGGTGAGAGGGCTGCTGTGGTGTCATCGTAAAACCTCTCCTGTGACCACATTGGGAGCACAATTAATTTTGGTCACCCAAGGAAAAGGACTGTGAGAGCAACTAGATTATTTTCTGTAACATTTAAGAGTTCTAGTCCTACGTAGTCTTCCCTATTCAGGTGTATGTCAAAGAAACAAGCTTAGTAATCAGTAGAAATTTTAAAACCAGATATTGGACTGTTCCATGGAATTTGTAGAAGCCTTTGGATGCTTGGGGAGCCAGAGAGGTCATTGCAAAAATACGGTTTTCTTCAGCTCAAACGTGAGATCTAGATAAATGTACTAATATTTAGTAGCAGTTGTTAATTGTCACATGTCTTCTATTCATTTTTAATTCCGAGAGCAATTTTTTCTTTGCAGTTCGTAAGATTTCTGTGTTTTTTACTTAGCCCCTGTTGTGAACTGAAATAGAGGCTGTTACTAGTTAAGTAGCAGTTCATCCTCAGGCAGCTACTTTGTGGGGGGATAAAACAGGAAGAAAAGATTCAAAGCTCATTTCTAACATTTTGATGGTCATTGGTGCAACTTCTTAAGCTTTTTTTTTTTCTGCACCTACTGCTTGGAAATGAAAAAGTGTTTGAAAATGTTTGTAGATTCTCGTGATCTGTAAGAATATTTACATTCCAGTTGATTTGGGTTCATCTTTTATTTATATGGGATTCTTCTTTTCCCCCTGTTTATTTATGTTGATAACAGTATTTTCACATAGGTGGTATTTTCAGATAATGAATGTTAAATGGTGTTTTCTCTGCTTTTTGTCATCTTCAGTTACACATATCAGGCAATACGGGTGTTTTTTTAAGGGAACATATTAAATATTTCAGGTATTTTCATCTTTTTCACTTTGGATTTTATGGTTTTCTCTGCATTTGAAAGCCTAATCTTGTTTTTGAATGGGAGTAGCTATGAGGTGTCAAGAAAGGTTATTGTGTCAGCCCTCTTGGCAATGGAAACTGGAGAAAAATAGAACAAGTATGATCCTAGCATGACTGACCCTATGCAAGCTGAGGCGAACTCTTTCATTGGAGATTTTTTCTTCGCTGTACTGTTTTTTCCTGGTTGAGGTGAAGTTTATCCATGGAGAAAATTGGTTATGAGAAGAGAATACAAAAAAAAAACAATGAAGAGAGAAGGCTACATGGAGGAAAAAATAAAAAGCAGTTCTCAAATGCTTGGGGAAGATGTGACCGAGATGATACCTATCTCACGTGTTGGTGGACAAAGCTGTATTTGCATTGCCAAAAAAAAAATTTAAAAAAATAGGATGTTTCACCTTACCATGTTTTTCTAACCACAGGAAAGGAAACTCAGCCTAGCAATTTTAAGTTGCATTAATTGCCTTGGGTCATGTCTTGGAGCTTTTGAGGAGGATTATGGTATTACCGTGTCTGGTTTAATTGTCTAAATATCTGTTCGCAGTGCAAGTGGGCATTAACATACACGTCCTGCTTTGCCTTCACTCTTATCTCTCAAGGGTTTGGCTTCATATTCAGCACAAGAGAGGTAAACCTTGATGTGCTGAATGAGCTGAATTTTTCCTATTTCCACTGCTGAGTCAGGATTTTTGAGTCGAAAAGACGCCCTTGTGCTTTGTGCATCTTAGTATTGAAAATTACACCCTGCCTGGTTAAAAAAAAAACAAACACAATTTCCGTGCAAGAGCAAAGGGATCTTTGCCTCCTCTTCCTCGTTAACGAGCTCCTGTTGCTTTCCCTGTGCCGATTTTCTAGATTGTAGCATTTCAAATATTACAAATCAAACAAAGTGGAAAACTTGATGTATCGGTGGTGTTTCCTGAGCAGTGATGGCTGTAATTAGGCAAAAGGCCCATTGCAGCAACTCTACATCCATACCAGGGTAAATAACTCTCCCGACTGTGACCTCTTGCCTCGTATTTGTTACAATAATGGGTAGAAGATGGCTTTCTTGTCCTCTTTCATCCTAAAAGTCTTCGGTGAGAGAGAGCCATGTTAAATATTCTGTTCTTATTCCTAAATTTGTAAATATGGCACTGAATGGTGACATTTATTTTTTTAAACCAATATTGTTTTTCAACATTTCAGTTATTTTTTTTTTCCCAGCTTCTTCAGAGCCATTCCTGTTCTTGGGCTCTATGTTTAGTGTCTCAGGAGTGTCACGACCATAACGAAAGCCAGGGGAACTGCAGGGCTTCCATTTCTGAAGCTCTGGCCTTAAGGCAGAGATGAGTCAGGAGAGACTGTAGTTTGCAGCAGTTCATCCTTTCAAATTAGCCCAGCTCCTTGCTTATTTTGGTGCTTTTTTGTCTTGAAAAGAAGACTGTGTATGGCCGACACATTGGGAATAATAGAAACGTACAGTAGAAACTACACTTTTCATCTGGAATACTTTCAGTTATAAGTATTGTTATTTTTTTAATAATAGAAATTGAATACATTTAGTAATTTTATTTCTTAATCTCTCTGTCACTGTGTAATACCACTACCAAAGGCATAACAGATGTATTTTTATTTTTTTTTTCTCTAAAGTGTTGATTAGATGGTCATTCGGTCCATTTGTTGGAGGTGTGCTATAAAAAGATTTTCTAATTCTTTTTTTGATATGTCTGTGCCCATTGGATGTCCCCTGGGACAGGGGATGGTGTGAGGGGACTGCCCAACCTACTCACAGCTTATAGAGATACAGCTCAGCACCAACAAACATTTCACATTGTCTTGTCCACTTTAAGCCAATTATTGCCGAATTTCCTCTTAGATGTCTTTAACCATTTTGGCTTATGACAATTTAGTTGCCTTTTTGCCCTCACTTTCTATTCCCTTTTTTAGTTTTTATTTCTCTTTGCTGTGTTCTTGGCTGCTCTTTCTCTAAAGATTAGAAAGCTGAGAGAAATACAGATTATCCTTCATTGTGAAAGCAGGGAGGTTTCTGGATAGAGTATAGTGGTGGCACCTCAACGTCATGGAGTTTAACAGACACGTTGACAGATTTACTCTGAAACTTCTATTAGAGGGAGGTTCTGTCCCTAAATGAACTCGATAAATAAGTTGGGATCTTCTTGACATTGGTTATTGCGTTTTCACACCTTCTCCAATGTGTCTGACGTCACATTTCCCAGCAGATGCTGGTGCTGACCCACGGCCAGCCCCAGCATCAAGAGGTCGCCCCTGGTTGGTCATGTGGAGCCACGTTGCCTTGATTGGCTCCCAAATGGAGACTCGTCCTCTAAAAATGCCCTTTTGTTTTTCCAGCTCCTTCAAACATCTGATTGGTGGCCTCGATGATGTTTCCAATAAAGCCTATGAAGACGCAGAAGCGAAAGCAAAGTAAGTGTCTGCTCGTTGTGTGCAGCGTAAAAATCGTAATCTCGTTTCTGTCGAAGGGATGTCATTGTAATTTAAAAAAGCCCATGGTTTTTCCCAACTCAATAGTATCAACCATCTTAAAAAGTAGTGAATTAGGTGCTTACTCTGGACGAGCCTCCTTTTGTTTCTCTGACTCTCAATGAACGATGGAAGAGCAGAGGGAGATGGGTCTCCTCGGGTCAGTGTCCAGAGTTGAGTGGTCCCAAGGTCCACCTTAACCACAGTATTTGAGTCCACAGAAGTGTTGGATCTTCAGAATTTACCGTGAAATATTTTTAGCTGGGAAATTAAAGCTCCTGGAAAGCTGGAGTAACAAAAGGAAGTTGTTGAATGTGATTGTTTCCTTAGAGAACTCTGTCGGTCATTTTGACAAAGTCAAAACGTGGTCCGAGACGAAGAATGGAGTTGGAAATGGAGTTGTGTTGGTTTTTTTCAGACAGATACTAGAGCTACTTTGACATGAACCAATATATTAATCCAAAGTCCCACTATAAATATTCATGCCTTTCAGAAGTGAACTGGAGTGTATTTTCATGTATTTCCAGAAGAAGGAACAAACCACCCCCGTTCGTTCATTCTTGATCTACAATTTGGTTTTAGCAGGGAAACTGTTGCTTTGATTCTATACAATAATAAGGGCGTTGCTGAGGAATGTGTTCTGATTAGAGGGACGCTGAGTTGTACGATTCGAAGGCAAAAGTTGTTTAAAAGAAAACTGAAGTCGCTCGGCATGAAATCGTTTTAGTTTTCCTCTTGCAAAATTAACTTTTCTCTTTTAAAATTGTTTTGTGGTTTTGTATTACCACGTTAAAGACTGGGATAGGTGTTTTCCCAAAGTCAAGTTCTCAAGAGGACCGTTGGTCAGTGGTCTGCAGCTGTCCAAATTTAAGATTGCTCTTAAGTTATACATAGTAACTTCTCATTAAACAGAGACGGGGGTGTTGAAATAGTGTGTAACAAAGGTATTTGGCACTTCTGTTGAGAGAAAATGAGAAGCCTTCATTAGTTAGTTGATTAAAAATAACTTTTTGTTTGTTTCAGAAACTAAATACGCATCCCAAGAAGCTTAGTTTCTTGAGCTAGACTTGCCAATATTGCAAAGTACCCGGAAATTAAGACAGTGTTTTCTTTTTTGTCACCTTTGATAGTTGATATACATTTTTAATTACATCTCATTTATTTTAAGGTACTAGAAGGCAGCCCAGGGTTGCGTTGCATTTAAGTTTAAAATAATTTTTACCTGCCCCAAAATCAAACGTGTAAGGTGTCTTCTCCAAACACCTAAGCTCCCTAAAATTCTTATTGACTTAATTAAAAAGGCAGGAGTCTCGCAGCTTTTACCATCCCACAAAGTAGGTGTTTTGGGCACAGAATGCAAAGTCAGATAGACACAGCGCTATAGCAGTGGATAACTGGTTATTAGGTATTATAAATACATCTATATTATTTTTTATATATATTAGCTGCTAGCACTAGCTTAAAACATGGCCAGTAGTGGCTTATACAAATTATTTTACAGAGCATTGGAAAATTAACTTCAGCAGCTTCAGAGGGGTGGTCCCAAGCATAGCAGGCATGTGCTATTATTATTTTAGATGTTATATTTATTTTTTTTTAGCGTTACTATTTGGATTACAGTGGTTTTGATCTGAACAAAAGGGAAGAAAACATGGGTAATGAAATTTGGGGATTAGGGGTTTAGAAATAACACGATGTTATTATTGCGGCAGCTTTTATAAAGGTTCCGCCGCAATCCATTAACACCCGGCAAAATTTGCAAACGGGACTTGCCAGCCCTGTTTCAGTCTTTCACATCTATGATTTTAAGCTCTGTTATTAACAGAGTATCAGATAGTAATTTATTATCACAGGCAACGTTTGTATAAGGAGACGATCTCGGGGGCTTTTTCGGGTTAGTTCTGTTCATTTTATGGAAGAGCTTTCAGGATCCCTCATGTGCTTTATAATGTGTCTTGGGGGGAGCTGCAGTTTTGGACCTAGTTTGAAGAAATTATTCATTTTGGGAACCAACGGGCCAATGTTGACCTTAACGTTTTTGAGCTTTTATCTTCTGTATTGCTCTTCTTTTCTTCAAATGCTGAGTACTTCATCCCAAAGGGAAGGGCAAAGCGAAGGATTCCTGGTGATAGAGGGATTCTTCCCCTAAAGGAGGAATTGATTAATTTTGATATCAGCTTTCTCTATCATTAAATGTCAGAGGCGGGTGCTCGAATCCTGTCACTCGAGACTGTAGGTGACAGTGACATTATTGCCCTTCACGTATGGCAAAGTTACTTGGAGAAGAAAGTGAGATGCATTGTAAGCTGGTCGGGAAAGTTATGTCGTTCAAGACTTACTGTTTCTATATCTTGCAAGATAAAACTCCCCTGGCAGAAAAGTCTTCTTGGCAGAAGTTTTAACCTGGATTACTTTTCAAGTAGCTGTTAATTAGCTCCAGCTAATTGTCCTTCAAGGGCTTATCTTTTGCAAGGAGGGGTTTGGGAAAGGGAAGAACTTGGCACATAAATCGCCTTTGGGTTTGGTGAGGCTTTACACAAATCATAGAGAATCATCAGCGCTGAATGATGATCGCATTAAAAATTGTAATCAAATCACATTAAAAAAAAATAAACCCCTCATTTTGCATCGTCTTAGCTAGCATCTCAGTTTCAGTGCTTGCATGGCAGGTGGCAGAAGGCTTTTGGATGGATAGAAGTTTTCTGTGTACTCGTGTCACACTGTGGATGAGGATGAACCATGCCGAAGTCAGACATTCAGCAGGTAGGACAGCCCAGACATGGTTGTGAGACATCTTTATGGAGTGTGAAAGCCTGCTTTGGGGCTGGTGGCCGTGTTCGAGGCCAAAATGTGGACAGTTTAATATTTCTTATCAGTTGCGGTTGGTTGAGACATAGGAACTGAAATGATAGATAAATACCTACAAAAGTGCGGAAAATATATTTTTGTATCAAATGACCATATGAAGGGAATTATTAAACTCTTGTTGATTTGTAGGCTCTTGTTCAGCAAGAGCACAGGTTTAGATGACATCCAGTGTTCCTAGAGCAGGGCTTGAGCCGTGGGCAGGAGCTCGTTGCAGAAATGCCTGCCTGATGGGTGGCATTGGCGCTTTGGGATTTTCATCTCCAAGCTAGAGCGTGACCCTGTGGTCACAAAGCTGGTAGTCCCAGTGCCCACGTGACTGAGAGGTTGTTCGGCAGAAGTTACAGGATCAGAAGATGTTTCCATGTATCCAACAGTTCTCCAGGTCTGAAAGGGCTGAACAACTTTTTTTTGGAGTTTATCTTGTGGCAGCCTGGTGTTTTCCCAGCCAAGCCCTGAGATCTGGTTAGGGTGCTCCTGGGACCTGGGAAAATGTTCTAGCAATCGACCGGCTGTAGAGAGCGGAGCTACAACTTCCCACCTTTGGGCGTGATGTGAAGGAAGGAGCAAGTTCTGCTCAACACTTGAAGGCAGAAAAAAGCTACCTTTAACCATTCCAACATAGTTCAGCTGAGCAGGGGAGTTTCCTGCGCCAGTAAGTGGGGTGTCACATGGAGGACTATATGACTTTGAGTGTCGATGTAGCGGCGATGACAGTTGTATGTGTCTCTGTTCTTCACGGGCACCATTGGATTGTACCCTAGCTGCCTGGCTCTGGAGCTGCCCTGGCAGCTGGCGCACCCAGCACAAGGCTGTGTCCGTGCTCCAGTGGGAAGGCGCCCAGGAGGCCCTGCCAGGCAGACCTCGAAGCCAGTTGTGTTCTTCCAGGGCTTTGGCTTTCCCTCAAGAAGACATCTCGCTGTCTAGGAAAGCCAGTGTGCTCCTGGGCTGCTAAGGGCAGTGGAATCCAGCGGAGTTCCTCATGTGCCCAAGCCGAGTCATCTTTGATGCCACTTTGTGAGGTCCCTTAGAGTCAGGTGACTACAAAAATTGTGGCTTTCATGTAAATGGAAGCACCTTTTTTTTTTTTTCCTCATGGTCACAGAGATTGTCTTTATAACAAGAGCTTAATCCAGCACCAGAACCGATGTACTTTTTTGCAACTAATATCTTAGTACCCAGCAAACACCCATTTTAGAGACACTTTTCCCTGGTTTGCACAAGCTTGGGATTGGCAGTCCTCCTTAACCTCCTTTGTTTGTGCAGTCCCTTAAGTCAGAAATCATCAATATATCACCAGTGAAGCTACAGAATTAATATTCTAGTCCTTGGATGTGTTCAGCTGAGCTAATAAATTAATTGTCTAATGAGTATTATAGTTACATCCTTATCAGAAAAAAAGGTGAAGGAGAGAGACAAACAGTTTTTGTTCCAAGAAAACGGGAGTTTCAGAAGAACAGCACTTGTGTCCCGGTCAGCCCCAGCCACATTGGTATTTAGGGCATGAAGGAGACACCTCATTAAGCAAGCGACTCATCTAAGTGTAGATTACTTCCAGATGGAGCTACTACCATGGCTCTCATAAATCCACAAGGAAACAGGGGGTTTTTACAGGAGTTGTCGGTGCCAGGTGAGGTGAGGATTCAGCAAGCACCTTGCCCATCCAGAAACTCCTGAAGTTAATCTCTCAGCTCATTGCTTTAAGCACTAATAAGGTCAGCAGGTGAGGTTCCTCTCTATAGCTTGGTCCTGCCTTTCCGTGACGTGGCTGTAGCAAGAGAAAGCCCCTCCCGTAGCACAGAGACAGCAATAGCGACAAGGTGGCCCTCGAAAGCTGGCAGCTGCCGGGGCTTTGCCCAGCCAAGCCGAGCCTATCCACTCCAGTGACCAGGGTCCCTGCGCTCCTTTTCTTCTGTCATATGCGGAATTATCTGCTCACGGTGATCTCCGGTGGCAGCAGGGCTTGAAATGAATACCCTATTGAAGTCCAGACACTGATGCCTTCATGCTGCTGCTCCAGGCTCCCTGCAGACAGAGGTTATTTTGATTGCACCTCTTGATGCTTTTTTTTCTTTTCT